TAGCTGAAGACTGAAGGTTAAGCCAAGCCTACTTACTCTATGTTTCTTGATAAATCAGTTAGTGAAATATTTCAATGTGATTCTAACAAATTGTGTAGAAAGACTGTACATATATATTTTTGTCTGGTGCATAAACTCCGCACTTTAATTGTCTTGTAAAATTTAGCAACTAGTATTTCACTTGCACTCTATACACAATGTTCCGACACTGCCCTATGTGTCATAGCTGTCTAGACATGACACATAGGGCAAGTGGACAGGAAGCTGCAGCAGCTGATACAGTCTCTCTTCCACTTTGAATATGGTAAGGAGTGAAAACCCCAGACAAGTTAGATCAACAACTGTATATGCAGAGCCTGTTGAAACTATGAGATACAGCTTGCAGGCTAAATATGTATGCAGCTTATGTAGTTATTGGTGGCTGAATTCAGTTCTACACTCTGACATTAATCATATCAAACTGGGATCAGGATTAGTAACTTAGACGTCACTCGTATTTTTGATGGATTGATTTCTCAAAAGTTCTTTGCACAAACTGTTTAAAATTGCAATTGATTTAAAGTTATGTACAATGTGATGTTTATTTGTAGACCAAAAAGGTAACAAACCAACTGGTTTTTAAGTCTGAAAACCCCATTTTTACCAAAATCTTAGATAAATGTCCTTTCTTGCAATAATATTATTAAATCTGAGAAATCTAAGAAATATTTACACTGAACATAGGAATTCGCTGTGTACTTTTAGATTGTGGTGGAAGGTGTGAAGACCGGCCCAACCTTGGAGGGAGATATGGCCTTTGACGATGTGCACCTCACAGATGCACAGTGCCCTCCTCATGGTTTCTGTGACTTTGAGAGCTCCTTCTGCAGCTGGAGCAACCTGGGCGGTAGAGTTGACCAGGGAGACTGGCTCCTTGGAGCGGGAGCTTCTCCAAACCCCAACACTGGACCCACTGTTGATCACACAACTAACTCCTCTAATGGTAATCTGATGCTATGTATCATAGTCTGGATTATAGGTGCACTAAGTTAGCCTTTCTTTGGTCAGATTTTGCTTTGTACTTCTAGTCTTGGAACTGGTCTGATGTACAGATCATGCATATTTGATGTGGCAGTGATAGAAAATGTTATAAACCTTGGCATGTTTTCCTCAGGTCACTACATATATGTGGACAGCTCAGTGGGTGAGTGGGGAGACATGTCCTACCTTGTCAGTGACGTATTCCAGCCGTCCTCAAGGGGACACTGCCTTACATTTTGGTACCACATGTATGGCAGCCACATTGGGACTCTCACTGTCTACATCAATGACAGGTCTGAGAAAAGTCAAACAGAAATTTAGTGTAAATTGGTCTGGTTTAGTTTTATTTTAACTCGTCATGGTTTATAGGAAAATGCATGCTGGAGGCAACGAGGAAGGACATCTGAAGTGGACTAAAGCAGGAAACAGTGGAGACCAGTGGCTGCAGGACAGTGTGTATATTAAACATGAAGAAGCGTTCTGGGTAATGAACATTGATTTTTTTTTTCTTTTTTTTTCTGATAAATGCATTAACTGTTAGGAAATCTAAGGTTTTAGTGCAGAACTTTCACCTACACGTTTCTCTTGGAATATTTATAAACATGCGGTATGAATAATTTTGGGCTTTAATGTATTTCATTTATTGCAATCTTTTTTTTAACTTCATACAGCTTGAAATAAACACAGTTTGTAAGCATATTGCAAAGATTACGGCAGTAGGTTTATTTTTTGCTTTGTTTTGAACTCAAATGCAAAGAAGAAAATACTTTTTTTTTTGTTTCAAAACCTACAGAAAACAAATTTTCTCCTGCTTCATGAACAAACACTTTGCTTTAAATGTGTGATATGTAGGTCTGTTGCCTTCATTGAGAGCTGTGTGTGGAAGTGTGCCACCACTGTTTCTCGCCCATCAGTAAGGAGATTGTCCGAAAAGTTACTACAAGTTGCTAAATGATGTCATCACGAATTAACACATTTGTTCATGTGTATTCAAATGTTATCTAAAGGGCAGGAAAAAAGAATAACAATGTATGAGAGAGAGGGGAAAAGGTCATGTTTGGAACTGTGAATGAAATTCAGAATGTCACAGATCAAACATTCCTTTTTTGGGTCTGATAAAAGCCCAAAATGACCCCTCTAGCCAAGATATCGGACGTTCATATTGTAATTTAATTTAAATTATGTGTTAGGGATAATCAGGCAGATTCAAAAGGCTGAAAATCCTGTCTGAGCGCTGAAGCGAGGGACAACTGAACGAGGACTGGGCTATAAGTGAGAGCTTTGGAACATTGTAAGATCCCACAGCAGGAACCACTGCTATTTAAGAAGAGTTAGAACGATACATGTCTTGTAACTAAAGTCTCCATGAACTCCATGAAAAAAGAAGGTCACATGTCACACAATTTATTGTCCAGCTCAGCCTGTGAAGCCTGAATGTGATTGTTGGCCCCTCTGTCTCAAAGAGACAACCAGATGTGTAACAGTTTCTACCAGATAATTCTTTGAGCATTTGTTTTCACTCCCCACAGTTTGTGTTTGTGTATGAAAGAGGAAAGAGTATAGGCGGAGACGTGGCTCTTGATGACATCACCATCCAACCGAGCAGCTGCTACTCTGAGCCTTCAGTTTTTCCCTCAAATAATTCAAGTAACTATTTTTACCTACAATGCTTAATTAGAAACAAACCAATTGTTCTTCCTGGAAATAAATTACCAGTTAATTTACTTGTCAGATATTTTATCTGCATGTTTTGCTGTTTCTGTAGCTGCGCTGTACGCTGGCCTTGCAGTTGGTCTGATGCTGCTGATTGGAATAACCATCTCTATATTCCTTTTTATGCTGAACCGAAAATGGAAGTCAAGGTAAGTTTTTTTTTTTTTTTTTTGTGGTTGCTTTGTTTTTTTGACATCTGATATGAGCATAACATGTATAACAATGCTAAAGCATGCACAGACATGTTATTGACTTAATTTTGGACCTGTATTTGACAGGAACACATTGACAATAGCGAATAATGAGGTTCCCAGAGAAATCTCTATATTTGACATGTCCGACCACACGCAACATGTAAGTAAGGATCCCAGAACTTTACGAACTTTATTTTATGTTATATTATACCATATTATCTTTTTCTTTTCAGGATACACAACCTAATTATACATCTGACTTCGCCTTCTTCAACAAACTGTATAATCCATCAGCACACACTGAGGCATTGTCTGACGCTTAGCCTGGTTTTTACTTTAAGACTCCATTACTCCATTTGGAGTAGAATATAAATGCATTATATTTGTTCCACCTTCTTATTCAGTGTGATTTTTTTTTTTTTTTCAGTTTGAAAAATTTTAATTGCATTCTTCCTTATGTATCTGCAATTGGTGCTTGTTAAAAGCTTTTGGAGACTATTTTTTTCCCAAGTGGAGAATGTGTTAACTGCTTTAGTCTTTTTCTATTTACTAAAGCATCTTTGCTCTACAGATTCAAAAGAATTGTTTCTCCTATTTTAGTCAAAACAACTATTGAACGTGTAAGCAAAAAATATAACTCGGTCTTGACATGTTATTTATAATAATGTTTTAGTATGTTTTTGTTTTTTTTCAACACTAAATAAACTAAATGGGAACTACTAAACAATCAGACACAATGAAGTCAAGTTTGTTGGTGTTGCTGGGTAATACACAGCACAGTCTTGTAAGCTGTTGTATTGTGCTCAACTCTGGTTTAACACGACAGAAGAAGGGCGGCATCTTGTGGTAGATTACAGAAATCCCTTGAGGACGATCAGATACAAAAAAAAGGCAATAATCACAGACAGGGATTTTTTTTTCTTTTGCCTTACCTCCCAAAAGTATACTTTTAAATTCCCTCGCAATAATGTCTTTACTAGTCAGATTACTGAAAGTCTTTCTGCTTCAATATAAGGTTTTTGTAAGGCTTTACATGCATGTTAATATCTCGTTTGTGAGATATCTGAAGTTTTATATTTTTCTTTAGGATACAAATGCACCATAAAATCCTTTAGATCAATGAGCTTTCAGTCACTACTCCTAGTTCCTATAAGAAGGAAAGAAAGACAAAAAAACTGGTAATACTTTATTTGAAGGGGTGTGCATAAGACTGACATGACACTGTCATACATACACATGACTTAACACCTGTCATGAACATAAAGAAGTCTTTATGAATGTTTATGACTGTTGTCATGAAGTGTCATTCCGTAAATAATGACACTTTTAATGCAAAGTTGCTCTAAACGTTGCTCTAAACGTTGCATTAAAAGTGCCAACTTTGCATTACATTATCATAATTTACAAAACCATGCAAAGTTGGCACTTTTAATGGACTTTTAATGCAACGTTTAGAGCAACTTTGCATTAAAAGTGTCATTATTGTCACTTCATGACAACTGTCATAAACATTCATAAAGACTTCTTTATGTTCATGACAGATGTTATGTCATGTTTATGACAGTGTCATGTCAGTCTTACGCACACCCCTTCAAATAAAGTGTTGCCAAAAAACTACATTTTGACGGGATAATATTGCCACACAAGGCGCGCCTGTAAACCACGTGACATGACAAGTTAAACTCCGCCCTTCATTGAAGACACGGACACACCGTTCTCCTGGAAAAGGAAAGACTGCATCGAGAGAACAATGGGAGTTGATGTCGAGACTATTAGACCCGGAGACGGTAAATATTTTCATGTCGATTTTTTTTCAGGATAGCATCTGATTTTCAGTTGGTCCCGCATTGGAATAAAATGTGGGCTTTTATTTGCAGGAAGGACTTTTCCGAAGAAAGGGAGCACGGTCGCTGTGCACTACGTTGGTGAGCCTTGTTTCGTTTCTCAGAAGATTAAAAAAAAAAAAAAAACGACTATTCACTTTGAATATGATACAGAGTTATATCAAGTGGGAATCATGCCACCAAACGGAAATATTCTCTGAGTATACGCGGAGAAATTGAGACTAATAACAAGCTAATGGTCCAGCTAGCTTAGCTTAGCTTAGCTTAGCTTAGCTTAGCACATAGCCTGGAAACACGGGGGCGGATGGCCCGACACTTGTCTGAAAATTATATAAGATTTTTCTAATACTCCGGCATTCAGAAGTAGCTTCCTGGTTATTACACAATTGTAATTAATTCGAGCACTAAAACGAAACCTAGAAAGAGCATAATCTAATTTTTTTCTTCTGCATGTGCTACGTATGCTAACCATTCACTGACAGCACCTTCATGTTTAATGCAGGCGTGTCGATGTCGTTAACGTCGAAATGAAATTGTCTATCGTTTTAGCTTGGTCTTATATAAATATTAGACAGTATATTGTAGTTTTTTTTTCTTTCTTTTAACAGGCACGCTGACAAACGGGAAGAAATTTGACTCCTCAAGGGACCGAGGAGACCCCTTCACGTTTAAACTGGGAGCTGGTGAAGTTATCCGCGGCTGGGATGAAGGTGTAGCTCAGGTACGAAGAAATAGAAATGCTGAAAAGATATTGATGTATATCAGAATGAGTGTCAAAAACCTGATTAGCCTGTGATGTAGTGGTCTTTCTGTTTTTGGATTTTATTAGCGTATGGGAAACTGAGATTTTTCGCTATCAAAGAAGATATTTGTGTCTCAAAATTACTCCGATCTCTTATTTATCTCCTAATTTTTAATATAGTTGATATTTCAAGCCAGTTGGTAATCTTACCTCTGTTTTTGTTACATATTGAAAAGTCAAGAAAAAAATCAAAATGAAAATGTAAGCTTGAGACGGAGCCAGGATGCACTTAATGGTCAAACAAATGTGTTTTCGACCGACTTATTATTTAGGTTAACATATGAAGGATATTCTTGCTAAAGATTTTACACCATCTCTATTTCCACTACCTCCACAGATGAGCCTTGGCCAGTTGGCCAAGCTGACCTGCTCTCCGGATTACGCTTATGGAAGCAGAGGTTATCCACCCATCATCCCTGCAAACTCTACCCTCATCTTTGAGGTTGAGCTCCTGAAATGCTGAGTTTTTACACTGAAAGCTATTCCAGAATATTGTTTTTTGGGAACTTTTTTTTTCTTTTCTGTCCACATTTTTCACAAATGGTTCTTTGGTGAAATGGTAACTGAACTGTACTTGTATAAAGCTTTGTTAGAAATATGGAATCAGAAGCCTATTCTCACACAATAACCACCATGCTAATGACAACTGTGCTATATTGGTGCTAATCTAATTCTCAGGCCCATGAACTTGAAGTGAACATTGGATCAATCTGGCTTCATTATTATTATTTTTTTCTTCTTAAAGCCAAATGATATTGACGTTCCCTGTTTTTCAAAGTAAATATAACGGTAACGGAAGTGATGCAGTACTGATAACTTGGACCATGTTCCCATTTGTTTTTGGGTATCTTCCTTGTTAAAAACACACACTGGGAATGTAACAGTTGTCTTGCACAGTTTAGACAACAGGATTTTATTAGCTTAATATTATGATATTTCATATTTGATCATAAAGCCTAACAAATATATTCTGCTCCTCCTATTTAAATTTATTCATCAGTGTGCTTGAAACAACCGATTAACAGAATTTGACTGGTTTCCGGAAGCCTGAATATTTATATATTATTTTAATTCATTCACATGGTTGAGAAAGTGCAAGTGACACAAAATACAATGTTCTCACAAAAGCGGTGTTTTTTCCACATGTGATTTTTTTTTTTCCTGTACATTAAAAAGTAGGGTGATGTTAAACTGACCTTAACACCTTTAGTGAAGTGTGGTTTTCTTTCTTTTTTTTTTCCTTTGCAGTAGATTGTGACTTTATTTTGCACATTAAAGTAATGAATCAATAAGGATTAACTCTCACTAAGAGCTTGTGATTAAAGTGGTTGCCTTTTGTGTCATTTTTCCCCCCAGTTTAACAAATATTCAGATAGTTTTTAAACATTTCAAGTCTGTTTTGACCCAAAGTGTCCTTGTGTTAAGCCACAGTGAAAACACTTTCTTTTTGGGGTTTTTTGTTTTGCAATGCTCTTTTCCTTTTCAGTGTAACCCATTAAGTCTGATTAAAATCAGAAAACTGTATAATGCTTCCTTGTCATGTATTTCATCAAATAACCAAAGTGATATGTGCTTAATTATTCAAAGTTTAAAACGTTTCTAAGGATACCCAGCAGATTGCATCGAGTCATTGACTTGCAGCATTTGCTCCTGGACAAGCACGTCGTTGACTTTACATCTTATCCCTCATAGCGAGCATGCATTTAGTGACAGTGGGGAGGAAAAACTCCCCTTCAACTGGAAGAAACCTGCAGCAGAACCTGGCTGTACCGAGCAACCATCTGCTAGTGTGAACAGGGGGTTGTGGCTCACAGTTTCATTTACTTTTGAAAAGCTAAAGTTTGGGTTTCCTGAGCTACAGCAAATGAATACTTTAGATATATTATACTGGATTGTACTCGATCTTGATTCACTTTTTAATTAAATTATATAGTGAAAAAGTTTTTGCAACTGTATTCCAGACATTTTACCACTGTACTCTAAATAGTCCTGATAGCTTATTAAAGTGTAGTCGAAGGCAAGTGGTATTTGACGTCAATAGTTAATTTTTCTTCAATTGTTCTGAAGAAACAGCAGAATCGGCTCCTCGGGAGGACAGGAGAGGGTTTGTATTGTGGTATTTTGGAGTTTAGATTTTGTTTTAATCGCCATCGTTTGAAGAAGTTAGTAAGTATATCATTGTGATAAATATAAGAACTCTGGCTACTTGTTTGCCAAATGGTTGCTCCAGATATGTCCAAATTGTCCACAAAAAAAAAAAAAAAAAAAATATTTGGGAAAAAAAAAGAACCTGAAACGAGAACAGTGTTGAGAAATATATGGAAATAAAATGGTTCTGAATAAATATATCAGAACAAGTCATTTAAAGCACCTTTTGGAAAATTAAAGAATGTGATATTTGAAACAGCAACTCGATTACCCTGGAGGGATCAAAAAATTCAAGTAAAGCTAAAGTAACATTTTCTAAGAATTCCCACACCACCTGAACGCCACGTTTGCACGGATTTGGAGTCTGGACATCGGCATCACATAATCAAAAAGTCCGGCGCACATTCGGTCTGATGACAAGCTAGTGCTCAAAATTAGCGCTATTTTTAATGACAAAATGTCCTTGTAAAATATTGAGGTAATTAACTTAGCATCGCTCAGTGTTTTCATCAAGTATTTACACGTTTTTTAGTTTAGTTTTGTTTTGTTTTTCTTGAAATGTAGATATCTCATTTATGACACAGCAGTTGGAGGATTTATGATTTCATTTGCGGCAGAATCTAAATGAAAGAATGGCGACGTTCTCCGCAGTTCATCTAATCACAAGTCTGATCCTTGTTCAACAGATTCAAACACGTTTCAAAGAATTGCCTTTTGGTAAGTCTCACGCTTACATATTCAGTAATGCTTAATTTTCTGGGTGATATTGTTTGTCATATGTTCACAACTAAAAAATATCTGTTGACTGCTTTAAAACACACAGTCAAAAACCATATTCTGGTTTAGAAAACTATTTTTTTAAATGAATTATAACTTTCATGGATAAACATATTTACTATCAAAATAATCAGATAATCAAATAATCAGCCCTGCCTCGTATTAAAAGACGTTGCTTTCTTTCCACCTCTGCGTATAGTATTTCTATTATATTATTATCATTTGCTGTTTTCTCATGGTATTGAATAATGGCACTTCGCTCTACCTGTGGGACTGTTTGCTTCTTTGTTATGAAACTATTCATTTATGACTGCAGTGATTAGACTGTCAACAGATGTAACACAGTTGTGATCTAAAGCTAAGTCTCAATTCTTCAGAAAAAATGAAGCTCTACCCACAACAGGTTTTTTTTACAGCTTAATAACAATTCCTGGCACCATAATAAACTTTTTGGATTTTGGTCCCATTATTTGACGCCAGTGTTAAAATTCTGAATTATTTTTTCTGTAAGATGAAGGGACATTTTCAAATATTCTTTACTGAAATATTTAGTGTGTTTGATCATATATCAGTTATCAATTTTAATCATAATAAAAATCCCACAGAAATGCACAGTTGGTGAGGATCTTAGAAACTGTCAGTTTCCTGTTTGCTTATTTTCTGTTTGTTGAAATGGAAAATAAATGTACAGTGTTAAGTTCCGAAATTTAAGTAACTGGAAAAAACACTAAGGGAAAACTAGAAAATTCCGCAGAAATTTTAAGGGGCCTGCCAACTGTGCCCATC